AGCAAAGAAGCAGAAGCAAGTGATAGCATATGTAAGCAGGAAAAAGTGATTTTCTAATCTTTGCTACATTTTTTTTTTTTACTGAAATTTACATTCAAGTGCTGAAAAAAAGGAATAAATGAAGCTAGAATAAAACAGGTTTTGCTTAAAACCAGATACTCTGTTCTTTCTTTTGAAATACTGCATGTTCATACAGGTGCATCTCAATAAGTTAGAATGTCGTGGAAAAGTTAATCCTTGTGAAGGGTGTCAATGATTGTCTTCTGGACAACTGTCAGATCAGCAGTCTTCCCCATGATTGTGTAGCCTAGTGAACCAAACTGAGAGACCATTGTGAAGGCTCAGGAAACCTTTGCAGGTGTTTTGAGTTGATTAGCTGATTGGCATGTCACCATATTCTAATTTGTTGAGATAGTGAATTGGTGGGTTTTTGTTAAATGTGAGCCAAAATCATCACAATTAAAAGAACCAAAAACTTAAACTACTTCAGTCTGTGTGCATTGAATTTATTTAATACACGAGTTTCACAATTTGAGTTGAATTACTGAAATAAATGAACTTTTCAACGACATTCTAATTTATTGAGATGCACCTGTATTTAGCTGGCTTTAACACAATTTAATGCAAAGCATGTAATTCTCAAAATTTATTTAGAATTTGGAGAAGGGAAAAATAAAAACAAAGAAACAAACAACAACTACAACAACAAATACTGCTTGTATTCTGTCTGGGTACATTGTTTTATTGATAAGAATCACTCAGCAACAACATTTGATTGTGTTTACGCTAATTCTATATACACAATTTCATAGAAATTATCCGAACACACGGATACTCTTTGGACTTACATTAAAAGAGAGCAATAGCTAAAAGCAAAATAAATGGTAGACAATAGTTGCTGAATTGTTCAGTAACAACATGAAGGCAGAACTTAGCAAAGGGACACTGTATATGACTTTACCAAATATAGCTAAATATACATTTGAGGAACAAACTATAAGTGGCAATCTTCCCCACAATGGAAAAGGCATTATGTATTGTTTGCATTATTGATTGCAGTAGAAGTACTGTATTTTATAAAACTACATACGAGGTCAGTGGGCTACAGGTCTAGCCTAGCTAAATTTTTATCTCTGAATATAACACTATGCGAAATACCTAGCTGTGAGAAATAATACCTTTGGTTATTTGTACTTGAATTTACATCACTAATACAGAGTACTAAAAATGTTTAAACTTCCAAAGTGTTAGGGTCCTAATAAATGCGAGTGCTAAGAACTACATAAAAAGTTTCAGCTATAATGGCCTCTATGCCAACCTGCACAGTCAGGAATTGTCTAACAATAGAGGCTCTGTAGTCTTTAGTCTTGGTCTAGTATAAAAGCACAGGTGACAGCAGTCAGCCAACAAGCAGAATCAGCTTCAGCTTCTCCTTTGTGAAACTACTGAGGATCAGCCATCACAACCATGAAGGTAAACCTTATTCCAGCACCCATTTCCACAAAGTTTAACTTCAAAATATTTGTTTGGTTTATTTCACTTTACATCATGAAAATATTACATTTGAATTTTCAGGTCACTTTCTTTGAGGACAGGAACTTCCAGGGTCGCTCTTATGACTGTATGGGCGACTGTGGTGACTTCTCCTCCTATATGAGCCACTGTCACTCTTGCAGAGTGGAGAGTGGATGCTGGATGATGTACGATAATCCCAACTACATGGGAAATCAGTATTTCTTTAGAAAGGGAGACTATGCTGATTACATGTCTATGTTTGGAATGAGCAACTGTATCAGGTCCTGCCGTATGATCCCTATGGTGAGTTCAGTCTAAGCTTACTTAAAATTACATATAAACATAAAGAGATTTATCTTTAACATTTTTTGGCTGATAAAGTTAAACTAAAAGGACTTCTTTTCCACTACAGCACAGGGGATCCTACAGTATGGTGAGCTCAATTTCAATTTATAAGATAACATAGATTTATCTTTTTTTTTGGCTGATAAACTAAACTGACCTTTCTTCCACTACAGCACAGAGGATCCTACAAAATGAGAATCTACGAGAGGGAGAACTTCATGGGTCGGATGCATGAGATGATGGATGACTGTGACAACTGCATGGACCGTTACCGCATGCCTCACTGCCAGTCCTGCAATGTGATGGACGGCCACTGGCTCATGTATGAGCAGCCCCAATACAGAGGCAGAATGTGGTACTTCAGGGCCTGGAGAGTACAGGAGCTTCAGCAATATGGGTGGCATGAGATTCATGAGCATGAGGCGTATCATGGACTCCTGGTACTAGAGTTCTAGTGTTTCAATAAAATATTTTCTCTACAAAAGCAAACATTGTGTAGTGAAAATGAGTATTCTACAAAATCACACTTAAAATAAAACTATTTACGTTCTGAAGGCTAATACACATTTCATGGTTACTTTTTCATAATAATTGTTATTAACTCTTTCCCCGCCATTGACATAATTTTCTGTCATTTATAAGACAACGCTTTCCCTCCATTGACGGTATTTTCAGACTTTGTGTTTTATATAGTTATACCACAGTTATATGGTAGGGGGCGCTATTACACATCTACTGAAAGAGTACAGAATCTCCTGATCAAAACACAGGCAAAGAAGCAGAAACAAGCGATAGTGTATATAAGCAGATGCATATGTAAAATAACGTGATCATCAAACATTAAACAGCATGCAAATCGAAACTGCCTAAAGTTACCAAGGGTTTTAATAAAATAATTTCTCTACAGAACTCAACATTGTGTTCTGAAAATAATTAATGCCACTACAACTACAGTAGCCCACAAAAAAACAACAACACAAGTTTAAGAAATGACAGAGTCAATGCTACCCCTCTTATCCCCTAAAAAAAGTGCACCTGGTAGAAGACAAGAGACTAGAAGAGTCAACCTATTTTCTCAAATTAAAGTTCATACTGTATGCTGAAGCATAAAAACAGACTTTAAATATGTTTTTAAATATGCCTCTGTAACAGGCACACTGCAATCTTTGCAAATGTACTAAAATCGTTCATAACTTATTTGGTTCACTCTGTGTGACTTCTTTATAACAAAGTCATTGGTTAGTCATGAAATTTGTGTTTGAACATGCTACATTCAATTTTCTAAATCGAAATTAGAACTTGAACCTGGATAAGGGCATGAATTGCAAGCTTTCACATTAACATTACCTATCACAACAACATGTCACACACTGGTGACAATCCAACAGATACTTTGAGCTAATCCAAATCTAAATTGATTACTGCCATTATATTTTTCTTAGTGTTTTTTATAAGAATATATTGACAGACTATCTCTATCATGTGTGGAGAGAGTTGTTGCAGAGCAGCATCAGGAATTAGTTATGAACCACATTATTAAGCCAATTATCAAAGGTTAATGCCATGTGGGTAGTAGTTGTTTATTAGAGGCACGGAATGCAGAGCCTCATTCAAATGTATTTGAAATTAAAATAATAGCTGATAAATTTAAATATTGTTTTACTCAGTTTACCAAATAATGTGCATAACTCAGATGTATATAAATTAAAAATTGATTTTTTATAATTTTCTTTCATACATGGTAGCCCAGATGAGTTGCAATCACTGTGGCCGACAGCATTAAGGGTGTTCTCATTACGAAAATGACCAATGAGAATGGAAACGTTAAAAGATGCCACAATTTGCCTCCATCCAAAATGCAGCCAGCCAAAAATGGTTTGAGAGAGGCTAAATGAAAGTTGCTTCCTTCTACATATATCCAATCATTTTCAAAGTAACTAATCTTGCCAATTAGCTTTCAGCTTCAGTTTAGTGAGTCATTAAACCTGCTAGTGGTTACACTAAACAAAAACAAAACAAAACAAAACAGAACAAATTAGACTGAACAATGGGGCTAAATATACATTTTCCTTTCTCTAAACATAGGTGAGAAGGTGTTCGATTAGGCTCTCCATTGTAAAAATTCTTAAAATGTTCAAAGTCTCTATAATAGGGTTTCTGCAGGTTTTATGAAGGTAAAATTAAGACTTTTTAAAAACTATTTTAAGACCAAGTAAAGAAAATTTAAGGAATTAATAAAAGGGAACACAATATGTCAATATGTTCTCTTAATGTAAATGCCTAGGAAGCACACAATGAGTTGTATTAGCAACACTTCAACACTCTGAAAATACAACTTCCAACCAATCTCCATTTCTTTCTAGATTACAAAAAAGTATCCCGAATTTTTTACTTAATTCTTTTATAATGTTTTACTAGTTTGATCAAGACGATTTACATATCTGTAATGAGGGGAACATAAGCTGCATCTTAAATAATTCCTGTTTTCACCACCAACCCCAAAAACTGGCATTAGTTATGTGTTATTTAGTGTTACAGACTGGCTATTCACTAGGCTTTGTCTCTTATACTCTGATCCCAAAATCAAGGACAGAGCTAAGGATACAGGCTCAAAATCACTAAGAATAATTCCAAAATGCATGCTCATAAAAACACAAAAACAAACCAAATCCATATAACCATAAGTTCTCAATCTAAAACATGATAAAAATACAAACTTAGGCTGTATTCAGACACAATTTTATTCTCCTACTCAAATGCTAGGAACTGCATGGTCAAGTTAGTTTGATATAGGCAGCAAAGGATACATCCTACGCTGTTATCAAAAATCAATCAGATGAAGGTATCTCAGCAGACAGAATGTGACACGATCGTTAGAATTCACAATCATTAGTATTTCAATAACAGTTTACATTAACATTATATAATGTTCATGTTTAAATGATGCATTAAGAATGATGGGAGCATTTTACAATTACCATAGTTTAAATATTGTTCACTGTTATTTCATGATATCTAAAGCATAAGCTAATGTTAACAAATTGAGCAATATTGTAAAGTATTATCAGCATTTCTTAAGAGTTTATCTAATTCACATTCTTTTTGACCAATGTACTTGTATTGTTCTAATAAATTTGAGTACTAAGATCAACATACCAAGCTTTAGCTAGAATGGCCTCTGTTACAACTTGCACAGTCAGGAATTGACTAACAATAGAGGCTGTGTAGTCTTTAGTCTTGGTCTAGTATAAAGGTAGGGGTGACAGCAGTCAGCCAACAAGCAGAATCAGCTTCAGCTTCTACCCTGTGGAACTACTGAGAATCAAGCAGCGCAACCATGAAGGTAAACCTCATTCCAGCACCCATTTCCACAAAGTTTAGCTTCAAAATGTTTGATTTGGTATCTCTCACTTTAAGTCACTAAAATATTAAATTTGAATTTTCAGGTCACTTTCTTTGAGCACAGGAACTTCCAGGGTCGCTCTTATGAGTATATGGGCGACTGTGGTGACTTCTCCTCCTACATGAGCCGCTGTCACTCTTGCAGAGTGGAGAGTGGATGCTGGATGATGTACGATAATCCCTACTACATGGGAAATCAGTATTTCTTTAGGAGGGAAGACTATTCTGATTACATGTCTATGTTTGGAATGAGCAACTGCATCAGGTCCTGCCGTATGATTCCTATGGTGAGCTCAATTTCAGCTTATTTAACATATAAACATAAATAGGATTATCTTTAACTTTTTCTATTTCTTTATTTCTTTATTTATTTTTGTTTTTATTTTGCTGATAAACTAAAAGGACTTCTTTTCCACTACAGCACAGGGGATCCTACAGAATGAGGATCTACGAGAGGGAGAACTTTATGGGCCAGATGTACGAGATGATGGATGACTGTGACAACTGCATGGACCGTTACCGCATGCCTCACTGCCAGTCCTGCAATGTGATGGACAGCAACTGGCTCATGTATGAGCAGCCCCAATACAGAGGCAGAATGTGGCACTTCAGGCCTGGAGAGTACAGGAGCTTCAGCAATATGGGTGGCATGAGATTCATGAGCATGAGGCGTATCATGGACTCCTGGTACTAATTTTCTAGTGTTTCTATTAATAAAACTCTTTCTCCAAAACACTAAATACATTGCGTCTTGAAAATCATTAATGCCACTAATATTGACTTGAGTAATGCACAAACAAACAAACTTCTCATGAGATAAACATAGTTTCAAAACAAATTAATAAATGTAAAAACAATGAGCAATTACTGCATTTGTTTGCAATACATCCTGTGGTAACATTAAAATTTGGCTTTCAAAGGACAAGTTACAAATAAACAATGAAACCTAGTTCTTTCAGAGCAGAGCATGTCAAAAATGGTGGAACTGAAATTTCATGAGGTCTGGAATACAGAGGTGTGTGTATATCTTAACAGTTAAAGCTAATACCATGTTTCATAACTGAAGTAGAATATAGTGGGAACCAAAAAGCCAAAGGCTGATATATGTGGAAAACCACACTTTCCATGTGTTGTCAAATAGCTCATTTAAACAAAGTGGTGGTGATCTGACAGATAGGATCTAAAACACAAATGTCAACAAGACTGTCAAACGTGTCTAAAAAAATGATCTACAGTGTCAAATTTAGTTCTAAAATATAGTAAAAGTATAACAGACGTATACAACTTATCATGATTTCTGAATTGTTGCCACAATTATAGATGGGACTGAACAAAAAAGGGAAAATTACCATAGATTCTGTGATTGGAATACTTGCTCATACAATACCATGTAAAGATTACTTCACAGGCACATGCATACTGATTCCTAGAATCAGACTGCAGAGTCACAACAATTCCCACATAAATAGCATGTAACATCTAATCACATATTACATAACCTTGACATATTACATAACTTTTTATTTTTACAAAGACAAAAGTGCCCCACAATTTTCTAATCATTCTGGACTGTTGTTATAACACACAATATTGTACAGTCAGTCAAACAAGAAATTGTAGAATTCCTTTTGTAGTCATGCTTCACTTGGAAAGGGAAATCAGAAAGAAGACACCTATATACACTGATCAGCCACAACATTAAAACTACTGACAGGTAAAGTGAATAACATTGATTATACAATGGCACCTGTCAATGGGTGGGATATTTTAGGCAGAAAGTGGAAAGTCAGTTCTTGAATTTCATGTGTTGGAAGCAGGAAAAATGGTCAACTGAAAAGATCTGAGTGAAGATCCGAGTGACAAGGGCCAAATAGTGATGGCTAGACGACTTGTAGGTGTTCCCATTATGCAGTAATTAGTACCTACCAAACGTGGTGCAAGAAAGGACAACCGGTAAACTGGCATCCGGGGTCATAGGCGCCCAAGGATAAGTGATGTGTGTAAAGAAGACGAGCCCATCAGGTCTGACCACACAAAAGAGCTACTGTAGCTCAAACTCCTGAAAAACGTAATGCTGGCCATGATAGAAAGGTGTCACACAGTGCATCGGAGTTAGTTGCCAATGGGACTGCATAGCAGTAGATGGTCAGAGTGCCCATGATGAACCCTGTCCACTGCCAAAGGCACCTACAATGGGTACATGAACATCACAACTAGCATGGAGCAATGGAAGAAGGTTGCCTGGTCTAATGAATCACATTTTCATTTAGATCAGGCATGTGTGTGTTGTTTACCTGGGGAAGAAATGGCAGCGGGATGTATATGGGACGAAGGTAGGCCAATGGAGGCAGTGTTATGCTTTGGGCAATGTTCTGCTGGGAAACCTTGGGTCCTGGCATTCATATGGATGTTACTCTGACACATACCACCTACCTAAAGATTGTTGCAGACAATGTACATCCCTTCATGGAAATGGTGTTTCCTGATGGCAGTGGCTTCTTTCAGAAGGATAATGTACCCTGCTACACTGCAAACAATTGTTCAGGAATTATTTGGCCTGAAAATCCCACATATCTTAATCCGATTGAGCATCTATGGGATGTGCTGGACCAACATATCCAATCCATTGAATCCCTACCTCGTAACTTGCAGTGTACACATAACGTATCAATCGTACTTACAGGTTGTGGTTCGGAGAGTTTGTTAGTCCAAATTAAGAGGATTAGCCAACAAAGATAAAAACCAAGATTAGAGAAGCAGTCCTTGGTAAAATGACATGCACACAACAAAAGGTTCTAATTGTATTTCTGTGGTGCAGATTGTTTTCATTTAAGGATAGCTACATTATAAACGGCAAAATAGATATTTTTCAAAAACCCATATGACCTGTTCTGTAAAGAATATATTGGTAATGTCTTGGTGTCAGATACCACAAGAGACATTCAGAAGTCTTGTGGAGTCCATGCCTTGATGCATCAAAACTGTTTTGGAAGCATGAGGGGGACCTACATGATATTAGGTTGCTGGTTTTAATGTTGAGGCTGATCAGTGTACAAACTAACAACAGTTTATTTAAAAACTAACTGAAATAAAATAATAATTATCAAAAAATAAATAATTGCCTTCATAATCATTATATTCTCACCCCGTGGTGGAAAAATACGAGCTGTGTGGCAGTTTAGGGAAAAACCTGTATTTGGTGCATCATGCACGTGAGGTTTTCTGACAGAGAGATGCAAAGCAGTTTAAAGCAGAGTCCTGCACAGCACTGCAATGCAATGCACCCGCAGTAATTAACAGAACATCTGACCTGTCATTCGACAGCAGCACTAATTTAATTCTGTACCCAACCTGACCCCATTGAAATAAAGACCGCGACCTGAACCGCACCTGCATTAATCTGCTGAATCAGGTAGACAAAAATTATTTTCTCATGAAGAAAATTATTTTCTTTGAAGAAAAGTAGACACGCAGTGCAACATGGTAATGGACAGAAATATGATGAAAACATGCATCCTTTGTGTAATAAAAAACTTTTGCCTACATCATGTGAACAATCTGCCCATACGGGCTATTTTGAACAAATGTGCATAAACCATATCATACACACGCTTATAATTCTCCATAAATTAAAAGAACATATATGAGCCTTTACTGTTAAATGCTATTGTCTCTCCTGAAACTCTGCAGTGTAGGCCTATTTGTGGCCGTTTATAGCAGCATGTGTAAGGTCCACCCAATTGGCCCAACGACGGAATCCAATGGTGTGGGCAAAGGTATAATGCATGTAGGTATTTTACTTGCGCTTCTGCAAAGTTCACTTAATTTATCAGGGTTTAGTTTCAATTTTAGTCTAGCTCCATGTTTAATCTGACTCCAATTTCAAAGGATCATTAAATTTAGACTGTATTTCTAATTAAGAACTGATCACAGATATCGATTATGTATTAACTTATTCCAAACATCCCATACTTTTAATTATTCGTTCACCTGGGACCCGATGTCGCATTTGAGTCTCACGTGGCCTGCACAGATCTCACAATCACCAGTCTCGCCAGTCTGATTTTTGTCAGAGGATGTAGGTTGACTAATACCTGTTTTGCCGGCCGCCTACTGCTTGCTCTTGAAAAAAAAGTGTAGTTTATTTAGTAATTTCCCGTACAGCTTGCTAGAATCAGTGATAGACAGAAGTCAGAAGGTATCAGATGACGTGCCTACTGCTCCATTCATACATGAACCTCTGTTTGACCTATCCTGGCCATAGATTTGAGGTAACATATCAGCCTCCTCATGATAGTCATAATGATTTCAGGAGAGTTCATAATAATTCAAATATAACATTTTATTTGTCAGGTATAAATGTATCAAGCCAATTACATAATTAAACAATGAGAATCCAATTCAGAATTAAATTCAGTTCCAATTCAGATAAATATATAACATCAATTGCTCAAAGATGAGTCTAAGAGTGAGAGATGCATACCTGACAGCAGAGAGACACACAGCAGCATGTGAGAGTTCTAGTGCAGAGCTCCAGAAACTCACACACACAGTGTGGGGGTTTTCTGGTTACATAATCCCCAAGTAGTGTTTTGCCACTTCGCTTATATACCCAGACCAGAAAAAAGAAATCTTCAAATCAGATGTAAAACCATAAAAGACCTTTTGGTTTGCTAAGGATCCCGTGACCAAGAGTCACACCTGGCCAGAGATAGGAAAACATTCTTACAAACCCTGAGGGAGACACACCTCTCAGTAGCAGAACAGAATTCTTCAAAAGTTTTCACTCCTTATCATAATATAAGTGACTGCTGTGAAATTGAGACAGTTTTACCAATCGCATGGAGACCTTTACAATGATACTAAACATGAAAGGTTTAAAATCATAGAGTCTTAAGATATAGTAAATACACTATGTAAGTATAGTAACTTGGGTTCTTGACACCTCTAAGTCAAATTTCCGTGACCCAGGCCATGTGCCCCAGAGGGAAGGAGGGGGCTTGAAGATGGGTGAAGGGACAGTTGAACAATAGTTTTCTTTTAGATCTTCTCAGATTAGAAAGTTTTTTGTTTTATTGCATGGCATCTGTTTTGTGAGAGTTCCTGAGGTTTAGCTTCACAAGAAGATCAAAGCGGTCTTACACATGAAAACTAAAAATTTTATCCAAATTGTAATATAGATTATATATACAGAAAGCGAGCAAAGAGCGCTTCCATTATAATAAAGCTGTCAGTAGAAATCTTTGACGGTCTTCAGACTAGAGTGTGAACACAAATAAGCACAGGACCCTCACTAAGGTTAAATTCAAATGTCTTTCTTTGAACTGCGAATGAAAATTAATAAAAATGAAACTGAATTCTATAGCAAATATGAAAACAATATTAAAATAAAAAGGAATTTAAAAATGCAAAACTATAAAAACCTTGTAGAGCTGCATTATTAACCTTTAAAAGAGTGCATTCTTGATTCAAACACCCATGCAATCTTATTCCTAAATGACAACGATTCAGCTGTCTATCAACCCTTTGACAGAATCACATCAGCCATCAAATTAAATCTGTGCTCATGCTGCCACTGACTCAGAGAGAGAAGTTAAATGAACTGTCTTCACAGTGTGTAACACTGGTTTTAGATTTTTTTTTCTTGTTTAGGTTTTCTTGTCTTTTGTTTTTGTATTTTTTGTCTATGTTCCT